GAAACGCTCTTCCACATATTGTTTGGTTGCAACGTCACTATCGGCTTCCGGTTGCGCTACATGTTGTATCTTGCGAGACTTTGTGTCAAAATCTTTAGCCGCGTTTAGACAAAGGGCATTTTCATGTGCATAATTTTCAACGTATTCATCCCATCGTTCTACAGGAACAGTTCTGGAGCTGTTATTCTTTCGCGATGTTCCAAACTTATCCATCGACATTTTGACACGAACAGTATCGACTGACTGACTCGTGTCAACGCTGCGCTGTTTAATTTATAATGAGGCCAGCTTCACGAAGTTCTTCGATAATTGATAAAATTTCATTGCCGTGGGCATTGTTGCCAGCTTTACGCGAAGCTTCCAGTAATCGTAAACGATCCACCAGCTTGTTGGGACCATCCCAATACGTATAATCGATTTTGTTTTCGTTTAACGTCATCACATCTCGCGATACGGAGAAGCCTTTCCCTACCGCCTTATTGCTCGACATGTGTGATACCAGAGGGCTTATTATATTCTTATACTTGTATCCTTTGTTACCGAGTATAGGATTTAGAGGGTTGTAGCCGCGTCTGTGAGCATTCGTCGCTAGCAGTATACTTTTGTACTTGTGTTTGTCAGCCTCGGTGTACACGGTATCGTCGGGTATTCTCTTGAATATCAGCTCGTAAAGACCCGGTGTTCCCATGTATCTTGTTCTATCAATGATTATATTATCGTCTCTGTCCACGTCGATGTATTTATCACCTAGCGTCGGTTCATTATTATCGAAATGTACCCCGTAAACATGATCTATAGTTGTATCTTTTCCACCGCTTAACATTGCTCCAAAGTATCGTCCCAAGGGACCAAGGTGGTCGCGCAACGTTTGTTGTCCCGCGTTTGTAACTGATGTCTAATGGATGCCGCGAGCGGCTCATCCGGAGTTTCAAAAACAGTATTCTCATCATCATCAATGAGTAGAATGTCGTTCGATTCATGCGGTTGCTCGTATAGAGGTGCTTTCCTCGATGTAAAATATATCGGAGAATCGTCTAATCGTCCTTTTAATTATCCGTTCTTTCGGTGAAGGCAATGCGAACGTATTTGAATAATCCCACGACATGTCCAATAATTTCCCGTTTTTTGTCATGTGCGTCTTTTCTTTCTGTTTTGATATCGCACTCTTTGCTTCGACGTTCGTACTCATCAATGGTGTCTCAGTTTTAACGCCGACGTTACCCTCTACATTAGCGGTACTTTTCGCGATTTGTTTCAGAGGTTCGACGACGGGTTTAAAATGTCTCTCCAATGCAACATCTTCCTCCATCCCCCTTATAGAAATATCATACTAAGAATCATTGATAATTACTTATTTTCAGTATTAAAAATACTGGATAATAAGTAATTATCAATGATTCTTAGTGTGATATTTCTATAAGGGCCTACCGGTTTTCAAAGCGTGATACTTCTTGCGAATCGATTTGATCGTTCTCGCAATCTCCTTCGCTATCTTCTCGCGATCCTTAATGTTCATGCTACTATTGATCATCATTGATGCGCTCTCGTGGATATTGAAGCGACGTTAGAACGGTGTTGGAACGACGTTATATAGTTAGAACAACGTTGAAACGACGTAGGAACGATGTTGGAACGATGTTACCACGTTACAACGATGTTGGAACGACGTTGAAACGATGTTAAAACGACGTTGGAACGATGTTGGAACGATGTTGGAACCACGTTGGAACGATGTTGCCACATTGAAGTAACAACGACGATTGTACAACTCACAGCGTAGCAAAATCGTTAAATCCCTTCCTATATCGACCATTGTTCATAGAACTGTCCTTATCAATCACTGTAAAGCCATATTTATGTTGCCAACATTCACGACACAATGCATTAAAATCCTCATATGACATGTCAGTGTTCACATGATCGTTGTAAATATGTTTTAAGTTGGTACCATCCTGTTTGAAGAGAATCAGCAGATTTGTGTTGTCGCGTATAAGATGCTTGGGTATCTTTGCATACGTTTGACAGAGATAGAAACAGTCAACGTTCGAATGGCGACCCATAGCAAAGTATTCCTTTATCACATCTTGTTTGTCACATGCAACGTCGTCAAAAATAAAAATAGAATTAGCGAGCGCTTCTGTCGTTGGAATCACGTCGCTGTTATTGGAGAATGTAAAGTAACCAATTTCATCAATCAATGTCAGCAAATTTTCCAAATAGGAAAATATTTATAGATATTTGGGCTGGTGCAATGATTTCGAGTACACATACAAGTTCTCGAAACGTGGACCGTGTGGACTTTCCAGCAATCTTATCAACACGTTTGTCTTGCCGCAGTTCGAAGGGCCGCATATGATTCCACGAATCGTGTTTGGAAGTATGTTTCCATGTCGGCGTGTCTCTTGATCGAACATTGATTGCGTTCTATCATCAAAATTTGTCACGCGTATCGCTGTCGGTTGCTTCAAGAACCGCATCTTTTCTCTGCAAGTTGCGAAGTTGATTTCGTTAACGAGTTGTTCCGATTGAACTATTTATAGGGGTGCATCATATCAAAATTGTTTAATTTCGAAAATGTTTTTCCTACTATCGGATACTTGTGACATACGAAACCTAACCTCCGAACAGTTGAAATATATACCGAAGGTTGTCCTATTGCGTGGGTTTCCGACACACATTGACGTTTTGCGGGACAGACTCCCCGAGCATATAAAGGCTGACTCGGAGGTTCAGCAGTATCGCCGGTGTCTGGAACATTATAATCGTCCGTGGCAACGAACGCACATCGACGGTCCAGCACCGTTGATCAGGGACTGCAACGAATGTCGCCGAAGATGACAAAAATTGGTAGAGGCCTATTAAATCGTGCGATAAACGCACTTCCTGTCGAGTTGCACATTCCCGGATGTAATTTTTGCGGTCCTGGAATTCGTTTGGCAAAACGATTGGCCAGAGGTGATCGAGCCATTAATTCATTGGACGAGGCGTGTCGCGAGCACGACATTGCATATTCTCGGAGTAATAACCTTACCGATAGACACGCGGCGGATAAGATTCTCGCTGTGAAAGCTCAGGAACGCATAACTTCGAAAGATTCGACTCTCGGTGAGAGAGCTGCAGCTACAGCAGTCTGGGCGGCTATGAAAGCAAAGACAAAACT